TTAATAAACGTGATGCAGAACCCAGTGGCCAGGAGAGACTCGCACATAAAAAGAAAAGGAACGCTCGTCGTCTTACCAGGGGTGAGAATTGCGGATGTTAGTTGAATGTCCCCAATGCTAAGTTTATTTATATCGCCGGTGGCGATGTTTGCTTTTACTACTGGCGAAGTCATCGAAGATAAATTTTTTCTTAGATCTTTCTTCGACTGGAACGCGACGACTACGAAACTTTTAGGAAACTTTCAGAAAGATTTGCCCAAAGGCAACAGATCACAGAGAGCCCCCTAGTGTTGTAAACACTAGGGCCATTTATACGAGGAAAAATAAGACGCGTCTTACATAAGACGCGTCTTATTTAAGACGCGAACTTTCCGTATAAGCGGCACATTTCGTCTAAAATAAGACACGGCTTAGCTAAGACGAGAAAAACTTCGTATAAATGACCTTCGCGTCTTAAATAAGACACGAAGGCATAGTACGCATGCGTTATTTTTTGGCGCGCCACGTTGGATTGCCGTTGCTACGGGCAACATTTACATGAAAACGAGTCAAGAACAGAAATAAGACGCGAACCATTTACAAGAGCGGTTCTCGTCTTAGATAAGACATGCCCGTATAAATGGTACAGTTCGCGTCTTATTTAAGACGCGTCTTATGTAAGACGCGTCCTATTTTTCCTCGTATAAATGGCCCTACTATTATTGGTCACACCTTGCTCTTGTAGTGTACTGTTTTTTTCTGTTACCACTATTAACATTCCTTTGAACTTTTATAAAAAGCTTCAAAGCTCTATTTGTAAATTTGTACTACAAAATATTAAAATCTATCGGGATCATGGTGCAATCTGAATGGTTGATATTTTAATATACAGTAAATTCCTTAGTATTTCCAACTTTCTGGTCGCCATAACCCTCACTAAACAAAAGGTATGCTTTTTTCAATTTTAGTCTTCCCAAAACTCAGAGCCTGATTTAAACTGCACAGACACATTGTCAGTTCAAACCACAGGCTAAAGCAAGAGAGCCCACACAAGTTTATTACAAATTCAAAGTAGACAGACTGCAAATTATCTTAGTTGCTAAAAAATATATATCTACGTGTCGCTACTGTTCATCAGTAGGATGCCTAAAATGCGTGCAATTCCACAATTGGTTTCGGCTCCATTAAATCCTATACCAATTGCAGAACATTTTAGGAGAAGCCACCCAACATGTGAGGACAGTCACGGACAATGTATAAGTGAGGTAAATAACGCAAAGTAAAATTAAGACGTTAATAAACGAACTAAATGTACACGTCAATTAAATAAATAAACAAATAATGCGCGCGCTCAAAATAAAATTGTACGCGCACACGTACCGAGATACATATGAAATACAACACTATACAATAAATAAGTAATGTAAGGATACGATGGTGCAATTGAAGCCTGGATTGCTAATCTCATCTCCCGCAGGGCTGCACCATACTTCTCGACGATAAGACCATGGCGAATAATTATTGCCATTTACTGATGTGGTCTTTAAAATAAAATTGTGATCTTATCTTGAATGTTGTGTATTGTTATTCCTTTGTGTGAATAACGAAACGTTTTGCAACCTCGCATTTTTATTTGTATACTTATAATATTTATAATTATAGTATATCATAATAATTATTTTTTTGAGATGTAAACTCCAACACCGGGGCACTCATTCACTGAATCACTGAAGTGAGGTGACTGACAGACTGCAAGTTAAAAATGAAATTAATCAACTGAGGGTTATGTACATGTATGAGATAGTTTCATGGCCCCTGCTCATCACTGCTGCTTTATGATCACTACTCAAGGTTGTGCTGTACCAGCTCTCGGTTGGCCCGTGGTGCTTAACTATTGTTCTGGGGCAACTAGGAAATTTTTTTCATAGAAATCATGTGCTGGGCACCCAGGATTTCACGGGTCCCGAGCACTGGGCTCCTTTCAATTTTTCTTAGAGCACAGCCTTGCTACTTCAAAAAACCTTGGTGTGTCTTTTAATATGGGATAGACTAACGTTATTCCTATAAATGAGGAAGCTTCATGGCCCCTTACCACATACAAAGGCACTGGCCACTCTACTGTAACAATTGATCTGCACACTTGTTGATCACAAGATAAATGTGAGGCTCCAGCTAAGAACCTGGAGGACAATTTTTGGTCTTACGTACCGTGTGCAATATAGAAATCCATTACTTTTTAGTCATACCAGTGATTACATTAAACAAGCCAAGGGCTGTAATACTGTTTAAAGGCTGCAATTTTATTGTTCTTTGTTGCCTGATTTAGCATAGTCTATTTTGGGGGTATTATATAGCCAGAGCCAAGCTAGGGCAGGGCCCACGCAGAGCGAAGGGGCTGCCCCACTTTTTGAAAAATAAATAAATAAAATTTAGTACAGTGGAACCTCGATATAACGAAGGGCCAAGGGACTGGCGAAATATGTTCATTATAACGAGGTTTGTTAACTTTTATCGAGGTTCTTTTTCATATTGCCTCATATTTTACTATTACTGGTATTTCGCGCTGTCGCGGAGGCGCGAAATTCAGGTAAATCCGCGAAATCCCGCGAAATTCACAAAAACACGTTAAATACCGCGAAATTCAGTAGAAATCATCTCAACTACATGTCTGTACAACATATTTGAAACTATCTCATCTATTGGGGCTATTTACTTGCTGTAAACTTGCAAATTTCTCTTGGAACTTCGTCACTGAGAAGTGCAACTACCAGGCGTAGATTATGTTGCGAAAAACTGGGCACTAGCCATGATGTTAAAGGCTTTGTCATTAGTAAGCACTACATGGTAGCACACCATATAGTCGTGCAACATAAATTAATTGAACACTGTGTACAACGTCTTGTAAGTAGTAGGCATTTCTCAAAAACTCCTCTTTTCTGTGCTTTCTACTCCTCGCTTGTCCCTTGTGTCCTTTTATATCCTTTTATGTACTTAGTAGCCCATTTCTGTCCTTATTAGTCCTTTTCTCTCCTTACTAGTCCTTTTGTGTCCTTACGAGTCCTTTCCCGTCCTTACTAGTCCTTTTATGTCCTTTTACGTCCTTATTAGTCCTTTTGTGTCCTTACTAATCCTTTTCTGTCCTTACTAGTCCTTTTGCGTCCTTACTTGTCCTTTTCTGTCCTAACCAGTCCTTTTATGTCCTTACTAATCCTTTTCCGTCCTTACTAGTCCTTTAGCATCCTTACTAGTCCTTTAGTATCCTTATTAGTCCTTTTCCGTCCTTACTAGTCCTTTTCCGTCCTAACGAGTCCTTTTATGTCCTTACTAGTCTTTTCTGTTCTTATTAGTCCTTTTCCGTCCTTACTAGTCCTTTAGCATCCTTACTAGTCCTTTAGTATCCTTATTAGTCCTTTTCCGTCCTTACTAGTCCTTTTCTGTCCTTATTAGTCCTTTTCCGTACTTACTAGTCCTTTTATGTCCTTACTAATCCTTTCCCGTCCTTACTAGTCCTTTTCTGTCCTTATTAGTCCTTTTACGTCCTTACCAGTCCTTTTATGTCCTTACTAGTCCTTTTCCTGTCTTACTAGTCCTTTAGTATCCTTACTAGTCCTTTTACGTCCTTATTAGTCCTTTTCCGTCCTTACTAGTCCTTTTCCGTCCTTACTAGTCCTTTTCTGTCCTTATTAGTCCTTTTCCGTGCTTACTAGTCCTTTTCTGTGCTTACTAGTCATTTAGCATCCTTACTAGTCCTTTAGTATCCTTATCAGTCCTTTTCCGTCCTTACTAGTCCTTTTCCGTCCTTAATAGTCCTTTTACGTCCTTACTAGTCCTTTTCCGTCCTTATTAGTCCTTTTCCGTCCTTACTAGTCCTTTTATGTCCTTACTAGTCCTTTCTGTCCTTATTAGTCCTTTTCCGTCCTTACTAGTCCTTTTATGTCCTTACTAGTCCTTTAGCATCCTTACTAGTCCTTTTCTGTCCTTATTAGTCCTTTTCCGTGCTTACTACTCCTTTTATGTCCTTACTAATCCTTTTCCGTGCTTACTAGTCCTTTAGTATCCTTATTAGTCCTTTTCCGTCCTTACTAGTCCTTTAGCATCCTTACTAGTCCTTTAGTATCCTTACTAGTCCTTTTACGTCCTTATTAGTCCTTTTACGTCTTTACTAGTCCTTTTCCGTCCTTACTGGTCCTTTTCTGTCCTTACTAGTCCTTTTCTGTCCTTACTAGTCCTTTTCCGTCCTTATTAGTCCTTTTACGTCTTTACTAGTCCTTTTCTGTCCTTACTAGTCCTTTTCTGTCCTTACTAGTCCTTTTATGTCCTTACTAGTCCTTTTCTGTCCTTATTAGTCCTTTTCCGTGCTTACTAGTCCCTTTATGTCCTTACTAATCCTTTTCCGTGCTTACTAGTCCTTTAGTATCCTTATTAGTCCTTTTACGTCCTTACTAGTCCTTTCTGTCCTTATTAGTCCTCTTCCGTTCTTACTAGTCCTTTTATGTCCTTACTAGTCCTTTTCTGTCCTTATTAGTCCTTTAGCATCTTTACTAGTACTTTAGTATCCTTTTTAGTCCTTTTCCGTCCTTACTAGTCCTTTTCTGTCCTTACTAGTCCTTTTATGCCCTTACTAGTCCTTTTCCGTCCTTACTTGTCCTTTAGTGTCCTGACTATTCCTTTTCCGTCCTAACTAGTCCTTTTCCGTCCTTACTAGTCTTTTTATGTCCTTGCTAGTCCTTTTCTGTCCTTACTAGTCCTTTTCTGTCCTTACTTGTCCTTTTGTGTCCTTACTAGTACTTTTCCGTCCTTATTAGTCCTGTTCCGTCCTTACTAGTCCTTTTCGGTCCTTACTAGTCCTTTAGTGTCCTAACTAGTCCTTTTCCGTCCTAACGAGTCCTTTAATGTCTTTACTAGTCCTTTTCCGTGCTTACTAGTCCTTTACCGTCCTAACTAGTCCTTTATTTTCCTTACTTGTCCTTTTCCGTCCTTATTAGTCCTTTTATGTCCTAACTAGTCCTAGTCCGTCCTTAATCGTTGGCAAGAGAAGGACAAAATGTCCTTGCTACGCTATCAGCAGGGCTTGTGACGATCACTGTTCCTGTTACAGTTGCGGCAACAGTTATGGAAAGAAAGAAGAAAGTAAAAAGGACTTTCCATCAAGGAAAAGGAAGATGGTTTCCAGTCCTCCTTCACTGAAAAGGACTCGAACATCGAAAGTTCTTGGGGAACAGGGATTCGAGATTAACTGGGGGAAATGGACTATTGTTGAAGCCTGTCTTCTTGAAACTGTGGAGTCTTTTCTCTGTACCACGAATGTCCTACCAACCTATCAAAATATAACAAAGTTGTACAATTTCGTGGCTAACAGCAATCGTGCATCTCATCTCAAGCTTAATGTAAACCCGAAAACAGAAAAACAAGTATTGGGAAAACTTAATTTTAAGCATTCGAGACACAGTGCCTTAGAAAATTTATTTTACGGCTTATCATAAGCCAAGCGTTTTAATTAGATCAGTCTTGAATTAGTTCAGGTTTCTAGTGAAGTGTAACAGCAAATTGTTGGTACCAATAGGCCATTTGCACTAAGAGGCATGTGACTTCGTTTTTATGAAAATGAAAGTTATATGATTTTGCCTTCAAAAGACGATTAGTGGGTCATATCTTAAACCAAAAAATAGTGATTTGATTTTTCAAACCCGAACCATTTTCTTAAAATGAATAAGTTCGTAAATGGTCACGTAACCAAAATGTGATTTTTAAAATTATGAATTACCTCTCTCTGAACACAAATTTTGTACGTAAACTTCAAGGAAAATGTTGAAAAGATGATGTGATAACGTTAACAGCACATCTGAGCGCAAATATGAAACGTTGAACAAGATATGAGCAAGAAGTAGTTTTGGCCGCCATGTTGCAGGGCAAAAGCATCCCCTCCAACATGGCGGCCAGTACAAATCATACTCCTTTGCTGAAAAATCAACGTGCCATAAAAAATCTCCCTTAAATGCGTTTCCTCTCAAATTTCGGGTGTAAGATAATTTTTATGTGCTCTGTCAATTTTTGGCATCAGCAAGATTCCCACTCATTGTTTAAAGGAAGCATTGGTCACGTGACCTCTTAGTGCCAGCGGCCTATTTCGGCCTTTTAAGAAGAAGTGCTTTTCTCTATTTTTTTTTTCTGTATAACTTCTAAGTAGGTAAGCACAATTAATTTGAAAGAAGATCCCAAACTAAAATAACATTGATATTTCTTAACCTGGCTCTAACTCTAAATTAAATTTTTTATTTAAACTGATGAACTGTTTTCGTAGTTTGTTGTAGTCAGGTTGCAAAACATACACTTTAAAACTCTTTCCTTGAACTCGAACTCTAAGGTTACATAATGACACACAACTATTTCAAGAGTCACTTAATTTCTATCGTCAGCAAAGCCAATAATTCATGAGGAGATATATAGGCATCAGTAAAGAGCAATTAATGCCTTTCACCCGACTTTCTAGGACAAAACACTGGACCGCATAAGGGCATAAAAATGCGGACAGAAAAGGACCAATAATGCAATAAGGAAAGAACACGGGTAATAACGAAAAAATTAGCACCAATTCAAACAAAAACAGACTACAAGGAAATAAAAGGACTATTAAGGACAGAAAGGGACTGGTTAGAACCGAAAAGGACTAGACTTAGGGCACCAGAGGACTAGTAAGGATGGAAAAGAACAAGTAAGAACGGAAAAGGACTAATACGGACATAAAAGGACTAATATAAAGGACTAGTAAAGACAGAAAAGGACTAATAAGGACAGAAAAGGACTAACGACAGGGACCGCGGAGCAAAGTGAAAAGTGGGAGGGCTGACAATTGAAAATAATTTTTTCATATTGAAAATCGAAAAAAGGAATAAAATCATAGTATTTGATTTGTTTCTGTCGCGTGACTTTGCATACTTTATTCAGTATTTGTCGCTCTTCATACTTAACGAATATTAGTCAGAAACAACTCGCACTTCCAAAAACTGAAACTTTTAACAATATATTGAAATGTTTACTGGTCAAACTCAAACTCACCATTTTCACTGCAAGTAGTTGTCGAGCTTACAGACTTTGACGAAGTCCCAGATAACTCTAATAAACGACCAACATACACGGTCGGTTCAGATTCAATGCAAGAAAAGAAGCGATTACAATTTTAGTATAGAAAATACTACAATGAAGTGATCTGAAAAATTTCTAACTATGGCAGTTCACAGTTCAAGTAATGTAATTCTTTTTGCCATCAAATATTTCATTGATTCGAAAGGAGAAAGACAAAATATAAAACTTTTATCAACTCAAAACAACTACTCACCTTCGTTTGGCTTGAAAAAGCTAGTAATTTTCTTCATTTCGTCTCATAAAACTGATAAAAAACTCTGTCGGAGCTGGAAGTACAAAACACGCTGCCGAACGAAGCGAAGGGGCGGGCAAGGCATGGCGTTTGATCAAGGGGCAAGTCGGCCCCAGGGCACAATCACCGCGAAAAGCACAGGAGCCCCACAAAATGCCTGGCGTTTGAAATTAAAGAAAATACAGAGAATATAGCGGAATATAGACGGAAAAAAACTTGTTTCAGGTCTTTTTTTTATTAATAATTATTTTTCTTTTTAGCGCAAAAAGTGGGGGCAGGGGCGCAAAAAAGTGGTAAGGCCGCGGCCCTACCAGCCCCTCCCCCTCCGCGGACCCTGAACGACGACATAAAAGGACGGAAAATGACTAGTAAGGATACAAAAGGACTAGTAAGGACAGAAAAGGAAGGACTAGGAAGGACAAAAAATGACTAATAAGGACAGAAAAGGACTAGTAAGGACACAGAAGGACTAATAAGGACAGAAAAAGACTAGTAAGGACACGAAAGGACTAGTAAGGACAGAAAAGGAAGGACTAGGAAGGACAGAAAAGGATTAGTAAGGACAGAAAAGGACTAATAAGGACGTAAAAAGAAGGAAAAGGATTAGTATGGACACAAAAGGACTAATAAGGACATAAAAGGACTAGTAAGGACAGAAAAGGACCAGTAAGGACACAGAAGGACTAATAAGGACAGAAAAAGACTAGTAAGGACACGAAAGGACTAGTAAGGACAGAAAAGGAAGGACTAGTAAGGACAGAAAAGGATTAGTAAGGACAGAAAAGGACTAATAAGGACGTAAAAAGAAGGAAAAGGATTAGTATGGACACAAAAGGACTAATAAGGACATAAAAGGACTAGTAAGGACACAAAAGGACTAGTAAGAACATAAAAGGACTAGTAAGGACAGAAAAAGACAAGTAAGGACACAAAAGGACTAATAAGGACAGAAATGGACTAACGAGGTCAAAAGGACGGAAAATGACTAGTAGGGACACAAAAGGACTAGTAGGGACACAAAAGGACTAATAAGGACAGAAAAGGAATAGTAAGGACAGAAAAGGACTTGTAAGGACATAAAAGGACTTGTAAGGACAGAAAAGGACTAGTAAGGACAGAAAAGGACTAGTAAGGACGTAAAAGGACGGAAAAAGGTTAGTAAGGACAGAAAAGGTCGGAAAAGGACACAAAAGGACTTGTAAGGACATAAAAGGACTAGTAAGGACAGAAAAGGACTAGTAAGGACGTAAAAGGACGGAAAAAGATTAGTAAGAACAGAAAAGGACGGAAAAGGACACAAAAGGACTTGTAAGGACAGAAAAGGACTAGTAAGGACAGAAAAGGACTAGTAAGGACGTAAAAGGACGGAAAAGGATTAGTAAGGACAGAAAAGGACTAATAAGGATAGAAAAGACGGAAAAGGACACAAAGGGACTAGTAAGGACAGAAAAGAACTAGTAAGGACACAAAAGGATTAATAAGGACGTAAAAGGACGGGAAAGGATTAGTAAGGACGCAAAAGGACTGGTAAGGACACAAAAGGACACAAAAGGACTTGTAAGGACCTAAAAGGACGGAAAAGGATTAGTAAGGACAGAAAAGGACTAGTAAGGACGTAAAAGGACGGAAAAGGATTAGTAAGGACAGAAAAGGACTAATAAGGACAGAAAAGGACGGAAAAGGACAGAAAAGGACTAGTAAGGACAGAAAAGGACTAGTAATTACGTAAAAGGACGGAAAAGGATTAGTAAGGACAGAAAAGGACTAATAAGGATAGAAAAGACGGAAAAGGACACAAAGGGACTAGTAAGGACAGAAAAGAACTAGTAAGGACACAAAAGGATTAATAAGGACGTAAAAGGACGGGAAAGGATTAGTAAGGACGCAAAAGGACTGGTAAGGACACAAAAGGACACAAAAGGACTTGTAAGGACCTAAAAGGACGGAAAAGGATTAGTAAGGACAGAAAAGGACTAGTAAGGACGTAAAAGGACGGAAAAGGATTAGTAAGGACAGAAAAGGACTAATAAGGACAGAAAAGGACGGAAAAGGACAGAAAAGGACTAGTAAGGATAGAAAAGGACTAGTAAGGACACAAAAGGACTAGGAAGGACACAAAAGGACTAGTAAGGACACAAAAGGACGGAAAAGGACGGAAAAGGATTAGTAAGGACAGAAAAGGACTAACAAGGACAGAAAGGACGTAAAAGGACATAAAAGGACTAGTAAGGATAGAAAAGGCCTAGTAAGGACAGAAAAGGACTTGTAAGGACAGAAAAGGACTTGTAAGGACAGAAAAGGACTAGTAAGGACAGAAAAGGACTAGTAAGGACAGAAAAGGACTTGTAAGGACAGAAAAGGACTAGTAAGGACAGAAAAGGACTTGTAAGGACAGAAAAGGACTAGTCAGGACAGAAAAGGACTAGTAAGGACACAAAAGGACTAGTAAGGACAGAAAAGGACTTGTAAGGACAGAAAAGGACTAGTAAGGACAGAAAAGGACTTGTAAGGACAGAAAAGGACTTGTAAGGACAGAAAAGGACTACTAAGTACATGAAAGGACATAAAAGGACACAAGGGACAAGCGAGGAGTAGAAAGTACAGAAAAGAGGAGTTTTAAGAAATGCGTACTACTTACAAGACGTTATACACAGTGTTCATTTAATTTATGTTGCACGACTATATGGTGTGCTACCATGTAGTGCATGCCACAATGTTCAATTAATTTATGTTGCACGACTATATGGTGTGCTACCATGTAGTGCATGCCTTGCCATTGGTTCATTTCTGGAGCTTATTGTTGTCATGGATAATAGAAAGACTGGATAGGAAACTGGCTGACGTGATCGGTTCCAACATAGTGGAAAAATGTGACGTCACATTATCGAGAGCCATTCAACCTCTTACATCCGATGTTTTGCGCGTCTTTAATTAATCGTCGCACATTGCCCAGATTGCCCATGTTTTGAAATAAAGGATGAAGAGTACTTGTTCTTGGCGAAGACAGTTAGAGGGTACAAAAGCGGTAGAGGCAAAAGACTGAGTAAATGATAATGGAACTTGTGAGAGCGAACAATGACTCTAGCGCCCGATAATTTTATGCACCAA